AAACTCAGTCCCGTATCCTACTTTAGCTGAAGAAATACGAATGTCTTGTTCGGCTCAATGACTGAGAATGCAACTTAGGTTGACGCCTTGTTCTCTTCATCACCACTAGGGATCGCTCCTGGAATTTTGTCCAAATCTGAATCAGCCTTTTTCGAAATACTCCGCTAGGTCTCGTCTAGCCGAAAGGATGAAATAACTCTGTGAATCAATCAAAACGAATGACCAAACGTGCTTGTCGAGTCTCAGATAACAGAAAACTTTGTCTGACTTGAGCCTAGGAGTATCGTCTAGCATAAAAGGTCCGTAGTGCAGAATTCAACGATTTGGGATCGATGAAACTTCAGTATATGCTGAATTTCTTCACAGCTAATATTTCACTAGGCTAATCTGTCGTTGCATGTCGTGCCATGATACGAAACGATTCAGCTCAATACGCAACATTTCACGCAGCATTATAAAAACCCTTCGTACTGGTAGTGTAATCAAAGCTGCGTTATCTGCGATAGGCAAGGTGAATTATCCTTGCAGGCAGCTCAATTCACCGGAAAAGAAACGGAGGTATTTCCCAAAAACAGTACCAGAGTGCAGAGCACACGGAACATAATCACAATTGATCGGAACCAGTACTCCGAAGCTAAGGTCATAAGTTACATCTTAGTGGGACGAGGCACAAGAGTAACGAATGGGAGACCCGGTTCAGTGGAACCCGATGATTCAGACTAATATGTGAGTTACAGAAAAAACCGTGATAAAAAGCAAACTACACGAGAATTCAAGATCACCTTGAGGTGGATGTAGCGCGGTGACTATCAGGTTTGATAAACGAGCTCCAGAACCACGTTCCATTGGTTTGTCACAAGACGAGCTAAGCTCTTTAATGAGTGACACTCAAACTATTCCGCATCCTGTGCCCCTACAGCATATACTGTGACAGGTCATCCACCTTGATAATCCGAAAATTCGAAATCTATTCACATGTAGTAAAACGATGACTTACTTCGTTTTTACTGGCTTCGATAATGTAATTGCCAGGCTAAACGAACCCTACTCGATGCACAACATTCAAACTGGTTTTTGAGGTGATGCTGGGTAATGGGAATTCCGTGATCTTTTTCACATCCATCTCCAAGAAACACCAAAGAAAGATTGATCGAACAAATTCATGTCAGTTTGGGTTCCAACGTGCTTCCTGTCTTCTTTCGACACTACGAAATTTTTATGAATCCGACCTACGCTATTTTAGGGCTTCAAGTAGCATTCCAAAACGAAGTTATACGGGAAGGCAGATAATACTGGAATAAGTACAGTGGAATCTACACTGTGGCCGAGATAGCTAGAAATACTAGTATAATTTTCATAGGTTATGACCGTAATTTGCACAGCAATTCACGGCGCTACTCCTTAACATCGGGAGCATTATGCAGCGGTTCTGTCAGCTGTTTCTAATCCGCTACTATCATTTTGACCAATAAGTTTGCAATCTAAGACCCTTCGTAGCTGTCCTGTGAATTCACAGCATAAAAGTACAACTGGAGGAATCACGATTAGATTAAATAAGGTTGACTTCCTTTCAACGAACCTCGATACCAGCTAAAATAGATCCCGCGTGGATAGCAAAACGAACCATAGGATTCAAACGGAGCAAGTCCTGATGTAAAAAATGAACAGTTTCGCATCTCAGATGGAAGAGAAACCGAACAGCTGCACACACACTCACTTCAGGTTAGGTCTGCCTCTGCGTTTTTCACTCTACCAGATGTTCGCTTGTCAGGTTCAAATTTCCCATCATTTGACTGTTCGTTGCGGTGTGGACAGGCCTATTTTGTGTAGGCTGAAATCGCTGCAATTTTTCTGCAGTTTGATTGGTGAAAGCCCCGGAAAAATTAAGATGGTTGCGACTGGAAGAATGCTTGAGTGCACAAGCAACACCTGCAATGCCCACACGAGTCTTGATAAATCAAAGCTCATGCACACACATCAAAAACATCGACTTTCAAGTGGTATCCGTGCCACTTTTTGCACAAAAGCCCAGATTAGACCTTAACTACCTCACTCATGCAACATGTAAGATGTGAATATCGACATGCCTCTAGTTCACCCTAAACCCACGGAAACCTGAAGGTAGTTTTGCGGGCCTCAGGTTACGCGTGATACTCCAGCACTGACAGTTTCACTCTCTCCACCAAAACTCACCGTGCTTCTACCTGATGAGCCCCAAGAAGGGTGAAACCGGCCGTGGGCTGTCGACGGATTTTCAGTAACCTTATGAGTAGTAAATTACAAATATTCACTGTTATTCCCTTTTCACCCCCAAATAGACTGATTAATTCTTCAAACCTCCTTCACTTATTCATATTTCGGTCTTCCTTTCCATACTTGCACCCGAATACTGCAGGTTGGGAGAAACAATTCTAAAGCTCCCGGACTCATATTCAAATTCTCTGACCCTGCGCTCGCCAGCCATCGTACTGGAACACAAGCGTGAAGCTTCTTTCCATGAAATCTATTGGTACCACCCGGTGTCGCTGCTAACACGGACCCTCGATCTTTCCACACCACATCCGCTTTAGTGGATACACCAGTTAGTCCGTTCAGCAGAGTTCGACAATCAAAAATTGGGCACACGGTACTTCCTACTGGGCCACCGGAGTGCTGACCCATCTCCGGAACCATGACTGTCATTTTCCGTATCGCCTTTTACCTGTGTTTACACTCCAAACTTTCTCCTGAGACCCATTCAAGTCTTCCGTCACTTCGGTGTATGAGCCGACCGAAGAATCGAAACACACCAACCGGTCAATTCGTATAGTGAGCAAGTGCTTCGTGCTTAGACATGCCATGGTATGCACGCATGCAGCCTCTTACCCCGTTATATCCACCTCCACCGCATGTCTCGTCATTCACAACCGTACCACTTAGCAAATGATTCTTGCAAATGTCAACTTTGTCGATCTGTTTATCATGTACATCACATTCCTTGCAACAACACTTATGTACACGAATGTTCCCTTCATGAGGCTGTGCATTACCGGAATCCTTTTTATTTAGGACAAGCCAACAAGATGAGAAAATCAGAGACGGCACAAGCATCATCTAAAGCTTGTTGGACACCTAAGCTGGGTGTTCTCCTGGCCTCCTCCTCCCCTGAGGGTGTGGGAACATTGCACAGGTCTGGTCGAAATCGTGCTGTTCCAGTAAGATCACGACTGCTCGCCAATGTGCCTGCAGGCCTTGATGACGCAAAATGGGGTTGTGGGAAAAGCAAGCAGTGGTCAAATACTACTTAGACATCCTTCAGGTCCATTCAACATGAAGGCCGGACAACAGTGAGGTACCGTACCAAACAGCGTAGACGCAAGTGACTAGCGCATTTTTGTGCGATGAATCTACTGCGTTGATTTTTCATGCTGACTCCATGCGACATACCACTAGTTATACTAGAAATTCTTGTCGAACATACATGCCAAGTTTTCAGTGGGGAGGGGCGAAGAAGGCTGTTTTTTGCTCTGGGGAATGGCTGGTACAACCCCCTTACCACAGTGCTATCACCATTGATTTTTAATCGATTGCTCTTGCCGCACACCGGTTTTCCAATGAAGGGCCAGTAACACTCATCAGTTGGTACAATGCTGCATTCGTAAAACCTGTTTGGACATCCGGATACAATAGGAAAATTACCCGCCCAGAAGTAGATAACGTCAGATACGGTTCATATCATTCATGCCTCCCACAATAAAGTATTTTTGTATCCCACAAACGTGCTTCCCCTTTCGAAGTACAAAGCTAACCATTGTAAATGAAAAGAGCAGGGTCTCGATGGCAATAGTAAAGTTTGTTGTAAGGAATGCAGTTAACGGAAGGGATAGTCCTGTCGTGTCCAAACCTCTCGTCGGAAAATCACAAGGTTACGTAGTCGACCTACTCCACTATCAATGGCCTTATGAGGTCAGCTTTCCCAAGGCATGATTTCTCCAATGCTGATAAGTTCTTCTAGGACCCCATGCTGCACAACTTGGGAATCTTCCCCAGAAGTTAAAATAACAGACAGACAATGCAGCCTTCCAACCCTTTGGTGTTAAAGGACGAGCCTCTAGCCAACAATGCCTGTAGGAGCTTCTCGGAGTTCGGGAATTCGCCTTCCAACAAGGTTCCTGACCACATGATGAGAGCTTGAAGGGAACGCTACTTGAATATAAGACATGAATTCATGGGCAGAACCATTGGACATAGTCTGGCTTAGAAACGACGCGACAAAGTGCTCTGGCTACAACAAGATCCTGAATGCAATGATCCATTTATGTTTTTGTAGACTGTCTACAAGTGTAGACAGAACGCCCGTATTTTGGAGATAAATTTCTCATAGCCAGGCCGAAGCAGGATTACCGATCAACCAACACACCACGCAAAGGACATACAGACCAATAGCGTTCAATCAGTTTTACGACACTTTCTGTCATCAGACAAATTTGGTACCGAGGTAGCCTCATACGGTGGGCCGAAATTTGATCGAATGGCACATTATCTCGAATGACAAAAAGGTTGAATGGTACGAGATGGAGCGGCAAAATAACGAAGTTCCCTTGTCCCAACACAATGTGGTTCACAAAGTGCGAGCCACTTTGTCATCAGAGAGGTCTCATGTCAAATCAAATGAGGGTAAAGGTGAATTTCCAGCTATTTGATAGCTTAGAGGAACGTTAATGACCGTTCGAGTGTGACTGTCGATGATGATGATGTCATACGTGATTTGAGGAAGGGGTTAGCAGATATGCCTGATAAGGATCTTAGAGCGTGACAAGTTACGTGCCTTCCATTTAATCGTTTGGGCCACAATGGTTTGAATGAACCGTCCCCTATTTTTGGAAACCAGTGACCAGCATCCATCCGAAGTAAGCGAGTCAAGAACAACAACAAGTACTCAGTTGAAATGGCTGTACTGGAACATCCGAAATAACGATGTGTAGCAAACCTGAGTCCCAATCGATTTTCGGAAAAACTTCATTTGATGGAAAATAAAGAAATATATTGCCAAATATATTTTTGAAAATAAATGACAAAAATATGCATTGCAATCAAAAGACTAGAAGAAATAACCGACCGGAAGCGAGTTGGTGTCACAAACCCGCTTGAGTCGGGTCGAAGATAGTTTGCAGCAAAATCAGAGATGTTCCCTACTGTCGGAAAACCAATGGTTTCAATGACAGTTCGTTAGTGGAAGTGGAGACAATGAGAAACTACTAAGTATTCGATCTCATCATTACTCCCAAACCAAAGCCATACATGTACGGCTGGGTAGGTACAAATAGATACTATTTTTTCGACCATCCCAAGGCTCGCTACAGGTAAAATATTCCGTCGCCGGATCCAGACGGTTGAATCCCCCGAATTCCTCACGATCGGAATCGAGCACATTATGGTACCTGGAAGTGTGAGAGAAGAAAAACCAACTGAAAGTGACCTGGCTTGATAGACTATTGACTAACCGTTTAAACTAATGAATAAAGTTCTATGGTGTTTTCAGTCCACAAAAGCTTGATCAGCATAGGATGCACAGATAGAAAATCACCACCTGACCCCTTAACAAGTGATTCTTCCCCGAACGCTGCCAGTCTCCCTAGAGGGCACTCCGCTTGATAGCCCGATGAGCAAGAAAGAGAAAAGAGCTGTTGAAACATCACTAACAGGAATGTGACATTCGACCCCAAGGAGATGAAGCAAGGCGTGAGTTCTTATCAATAGAACTCCTCGAAACAGTTCCATACAAAAGATATGGAAGTTTATAAGCATCTGACCGAGCTGTCGGCTTCATATTTCCAGTTGAGGTTGTATGGTAGCTTTATACCCGATATACATGGTTTAAAGCGAAATTCTATCAATCTGACCTACTAAGCCCGAAAACGTGGAACGTAATTTGAGCACTGACGCGAAGTGAGCTTGGATATCTGGTTGAATCGTCTAGCCCCACTGTTGAGTCAAATAGATAGAGCTTGACTGTCACTCAGGTATCACTATCACCGAGATACGCACAACTATAGAATCACTGTGCAGTTTTGGGATAATGTAAAAAGAATACCTCAGTGGCACTATTAACATTGCAGTAGAATACAGATGCCCCCGAAAACGATTTCCACAAACACCGAAATGGTTGTTTAGGCTTGTGCAATGTAATTTGCTACATTCCGGTCAGATGATAGATCAGTATTCTGATCTCATCCTAGAGATCGATCTGTGCTACTTTACAAAAGATAATGATAAAAAGATAACTGTTCAGCTGGAACATCCTTTTTGTGTCTGTCTGCCATGTCATCTGAAGGAAGCACAAGAACTGGGGTACTGCCAGGTTGCCCAAGTCTAGACACGAAAAGTTGAAGTGCGGGGGCCGCGTTCCAACCACGGACCTTCCGACCAGTAAGTTCGCGCTCTAATCACCAATTTTTCAAAGGAGAATGTATGGAAGAAGCAAGTTTAAGATAGGATCAGCACACCACTTTTAACAGCCACCTGAAAAGGCCCTTAGAAGATCTGTAAAGTCAGTGACAAAATCATATGAACACTCAGTTTTTTCAAGCACAGTTACCGTCATTTCACTATCAGATCATCCGGACCATGTCAAATGCAGATATGAAGCGAAATTCCGAATACAGCAAAGTAATCCAACCTAAGAGGTGCCGACCTTGTTGACCAGGAACACTTTGGGCGGGGGTCAAAGTTATGTTCGGGTTTTTTTCAAAGACAAATTCTGTCATGATACCCTCTAAAACGTCCAAACAGTCCCGTCAAAGGTCGGTGTATAATCACAAATAATGGTTCAGCTATAGCGTACTTCTAGTGCCTAGCTGCCATGCCACACGGAGGAAGCACGAAGGCTGCCCAAGCCTCATCAATCATCATCATCAAGCCCAAGCCTAGACGGGGGGCAGTCGAACTGCGAAGGTCGGGTTCGAACCATGGACCTTCCAGTCACTAAAGAATCTCGAGTAGTCGACGTAGAGGGTTCAATGTAATTTGGATGTAAGGTGTAGACAGAAGGCACGCAGGATATACGGACGACGTCCACCGATGTTAGAAAGCACGTGAATTTCGAACATAAGCTCCATATATTTAAGCAGGTGGTAAACCAAAGCCAGTTGTTATTCGTGATTGGGTAGGTGTGTAATTTCATCTCATCAACATTGCTCTTCATACACTCATAACCGACCGAGCTGACAAAGCATTGCACAGCTGGGACAATAACGTGAATACAAAGGTGCCAAATGATGCTATTATCTTCAAATCCATCTCACTCGGGGGCGAGACGGCCGAAGTGGTTAGAGCGCGGATTACTAACCCGAAGGTCCGCGGTTCGAATCCGACCTCCGCCACTCGACTTCCCCTGTCTAGGCTTGGGCAACCTGGCAGTATCCCAGCCCTCGTGCTTCCTTCGGGTGGCATGGCAGCTAGGCACCGGAAGGGTGCTACAGCTGAACGATTACCTTTATTTTTCTACCTATGTCCAGCTCGGAGTGGTGCAAGCAGAGAGTTGGTCAACCTTTAACTTGGCAGATGGGCGTGAAAGGTATTACGGAAAGTCTGGGTGCTGTGGGCGCGGGGTTGTAGGGTTGTAGACACTGCACGATATGACTGTTGGTTGATTTTAGTGGCGTTCCTTCTATCATTTCCTATCCGGATTACCTTAATAAATGCCCGGAGACATCGGATTAACCTTGGTAGGCTAACACTTAATCCCTTCTCCATCCAGCCTTATTCTTTTCATCAGCCCTTCAACCAAATTATGACTGTACGGCATCAGTGTTAAACGTTGATGCTATGTTGTCGATGATAATGGTGATACCTCCCTGGATAAGTGCCACAGGGATGAGACAAACTGATGGTTAGTGACCCTGGCAAGTGTGGCCATGTCACGCAGGACAACAACAAAATCAAGCTTTTTGAATGAAACATGTGAACACCGATTCGCTACTAATTGATGTTTCACTGTTTTATAGGAGTGATACGATGCACGTTGGGCAAATACCGAAGACTCTGTTGATTGTACGCAATCTGTGAACAGAAACTCGTGTACCTTAATTCCCGCCAGTAGGTGGGATTACTTGGAAAGCCGTGTCTGATGCGCACAGTAAAAGGATGAAATCTTATAAGCTCTGCGTCAGAAAGGATTGAAATACATAAAAAAAGTTTACAACTTACAGCTAATGAGAACCAAAGAATGTCATGTCATCAGCAGAAAACAGGAGCAACATATTCCAGCAGAAAGTGCATACAAAACGGTGAACCTCTAACAAAAGAACAAGCTAGGTGCGGGGAGCGTTAGTGTGAACAAGCATAACGGTTTCACCCGAATGATGGTAAGTAGTACTTATCATCCGACCGGTAAAAAACTGCTGGAAACTGATAGATCCTGTCAGCTGCCGGATAGTCGTGTCCGTCGTTACGGCCACTGTAATCGGGCGTCTGGCATAAAGCTGGTCAGAGCAACTATCTCTGTCAGCTTTTATAAGTATCTGAAGCGTACGTGCAGGAATGATTCGCACTTTTCGTGAAGCCGCCGTGAATGACAGTACATTGTAAGCCACTTTATAATAACCAAGGCGTTCTTCTCGAAGGATACTACTTACAAGGTCGAAAACTCTCCAACAGTTCACAACTGTTTGTGTCCTTTTCGGGACTCATGAGAGGAGCATAGTCACAAAAACTACATTAACATTATGTTCTATTTGAACCCAAGCTGTAGGAAATCCGTGAATTACACACACTTGAAAATCAATTTGTTTTTTGGTCTGCTCCTACAAATTGCGTTACTCTCAGTTATTAAATAGGTTTACGAAGGTGCAAAGTTCACTAGAGACTCAGGGATACGAAGATCAAAAAATGCATCCAGGAAGTGAGCAGACCAAACAAAAATGAAGAACGAATCGTCAAACAGACGATGTGAAATAAGCACTGAAGGAAAGAGCTGGGCTGAACTGCCTTTGAAAACCAACTGTGCTTGAAAGGACTTATGGTTGGAGTGATTAGCTGGTTAGTATAGAAGCTGCTGACACGTAGTTAAGAACGTGGAATTAGAAGATCAGTTGACTTCCATATTCATTTCCGTTTCAGTTCAGCTTTGAAAGTCGGTCAATGAAAAAAGCTCTAAATTCGCGTTACAAATGCCCCTACCTAAGATGAGAGAACAGTATCTTATCTGTTGTCCCTATCCTCGTGTCTAGGAAAACGAATGGGTTCTCCTTCAGAGACGACCAATGAGTGAAAACTGGGGAGAATAATGACTGGATTTCACATACCAAGTTAAGTCGTCGTTCAGCTGTAACACCCCTCCGGTGCCTAGCTGCCATGCTACCCGAAGTAAGCATGAGGGCTGGGATACTACCAGGTTGCCCAAGCCTAGAGAGGGGGAGTCGAGAGGCAGAGGTCGGGTTCGAACCACGGACCTTCCGGTCAGTAACTTCGCGCTCTAACCACTTGAGCCATCTCGCCCCACCAAGTTAAGTGGTAAGGCGTAAGAGCAGCTCTATCTTTCAAGTGTTCATATCGTCACGACAACCAAAATGGTATACCGGTTTCACTGTACAGGTAATTTGATGTTGAAGAGTTGCATAACTTTCCTACTGACTGTCAAAAATGCCAATTTCAACTACACGTCCATTTGTTTCACTCACACATCGTCATCACGAGTCCAAATGACCTGTGTTACCTGTGCCCGCAATTTTCCATCAAAATTGGGGGATTCGTACATTCAATTGCCAATTTCACGCCGAGCTGGTCCGCAGCTGAAGCCTGAATTCCCTGACAGTACTGGCAATGTGCGAGACTGTCGAGTGCACAACGTCACATGAAACCATTTAGAATTACCAGATTTATATGCAGTTGATCATTCAAACAAACATCGTCAGTTGGTGATAAGTAAGCATGTTAGCTAGCATTCATGAAGGACGCTTCCAAAAACTATTTGAAAACGGGGAGTGGAATCATCACACAATAAAACACAAAGGTCTCCCAAAATAACGTCAAATCTACGTAGCGGAAAAATATCGACCGGGCGTAAAACAACCACAGCAGCACTGGTTGTAACAACTGCAGCACGTGACCAACAGGAACAAGGATTAAAACAAGAATAAATGCGTGGGATGCAAAATAAACTACCGGGAACGGGTTAGTTTAGCCCAATTGTGTTTACGCAATCAGGACAACCGGATTTGGGAGTCTGGGACTTTAGGGATAAATTGGGACAGTTTGTTTGCCGATAGTCGCCGATGATTAAAAGCGACTGTTCCATTGCCTAAGCGAATACAGTCAGTATTCAGTCAGTAAAATGCAAAAGTATCAACTCAGGATATGGAGAGTATGGGGGTTGCTCTTAGTCATCACACAGAGGCGATCCTTCGTGAGTATATACGCAGCAACAGAAAAATGTTACCAGATTAGTACATTGCGCATATTAACCAGCCAAAGTTCACCAAACACGGATTGACAGTCGTTTGTGTTCGTAATGCAGCTCGGAAACATCAAAACGTGAGGTCGCAATTACCTGAGTGAACCACCCTTGAACGAATAAATCGGTTGAAAAGTCCAGAAGTTCAATTTCGTGCTCTCCACAACGTCCGCTCAGTGAGAAATGACAACAATGGAGATTGTGTGCTGATCACGATTTGTCCTCACCTACTCGTAAAAACCTGACACTAACGTAGCGTCTCTGAACAAGCTGCGCAAAAAGACTGTCTATTATATCTAAACCGATGGAAATAGTGCGAGTGAAAAGATGTCCACATAAAATAGGCTTTTAATGGGACGTGGACAGCTGAGACGATGTTTTTAAATTTTCAAGTTTAGATGTCAGACAATCAAATGAAAGTGGGGCGAACGAATCCGGATGCAACAGAACCTCCTCTATATATTGATCGGGTATCGCGACTGTTGTTCGTTAGGGACGAAAGGCTTGCTACAGCGAGACTTACCGGCCTGGCGTTTCCACACCAATCCGATAGCCTGTGAAGCTTTGCGTAGGATGGAAATTGAATGCAAACAGCACACCGGCGCGTTCAAACGCAATGATCTTATCACCTTCATGTTTACGGCTCACATAGGCCTGAGAAGAAGAAAATAGATATCAACGGTGAGAAATAATTGCCATTCGAATATGCATTGAAATAAGAGTTAGGGAAACCGAGTATCGAAATCAAGATATGTGAGAACAGCTTTATCAGTAAATATAATCACTCGGATAAGAAAGAAACCTGATGAGGGTGAGCACCTACAAGCAATCCTCACCGAAGGTACTTAGATATGGACAGAGATGGACCCGGTATAGTCGTTGACCTGCAACACCCTTCCAGTGCCTAGGCACCATGCTACCCGAAGGAAGCACGAGGGTTGGGATACTGCCAGGTTGCCCAAGCCTAGGCAGGGGAAGTCGGGAGGCAGAAATTGGGTTCGAACCACAGGGCCCTCCGGTCAGTAAATTCGCGCTCTAACCTCTTGGACCAATCGGGAGGCGAAATTGGGTTCGAACCACAGGGCCCTCCGGTCAGTAAATTCGCGCTCTAACCTCTTGGACCATCTCGCCCGGTATAAGACGTCACGCGTCGAAACAATCAATCAACAATATGAAAAGGTGATCGTTTAGTGGGCTTCACTGGCTTGAATCTTATATTCCTAGTCAATACACGCGTCCAACACCGGAAGTAAAACTGTTAGAAAGGTGGCTAAAGGAGGAGCTCAGTAATAATATGCGCAAATGACGCCAAGCCTCCAGAGAGAGGTTTGTAGATAGTTCACAGTGCTGTTGAATGAGCAGGGGTCTTCGGTATAAGGGAAGGGACTGGATCGAAGCGACCGATTCCAGACAAGACGGCACAGATCAATTCCGCTCAATCCGAGATAGCTGTCGTTAAAGCGCGAACTTGCTGACCGGAAGGTCCGTGGTTCGAACCCAACCCTGGCAATTCGGCTGCTCCTGCCTAGGCTTAGGCAACCCGATAGTAACTCAGCCCTTGTGTTCCCTTTCGTTAGCAAGACATCCATACACTGAATGGGTCTTACAAGATAATGACAATTACTGTTTTGGTAGCGGGTTTTCAGCTGTAAAATGAACCCTGCCTGAGATGAAAAGCCCAAAAGCGATTATCGGCTTGACTACATAATGTGGATCCCAGAAATGAAGGATGAATGGCGCTACATTACACAGCTAATGAGCCGCTGGTGGTCAAACGGCCGTGTTGAAACTACTAGATAAAGATCGCGGGTTCGAGACTTCCTGGAGTTTCGCGATGTGCGCACCGACCTTGTTCCTAATAAAAATGGAACAGCTGTGCAGTGCTTCTCAGCTTTCCAGCATATACTGAATCTCCATTGCAGTGCTTTTACTTTTTTAACCAGGGCTGTTAGATAAACGACCAATGAAGTATCGCCTCAAGCTCTAAAAACACACAATCCTTCATAGACTTACGTGCTAACATCATTTCGATAAGCTTTGACCTATTGTGGACTATTCTACAGCAAACCAGCTTGATTAGTGAAGAACGCTAACGCTCCACCGAAAAGAGCACAGGGATTAACCCCAAGTAATGGAGAAAAATAAGGTTGCCCTCTGGGTAAAAAAAGATAAAGATAAAGCGTTCAGCTGTAGCACCCTTCCGGTGCCTAGCTGCCATGCCACCCGAAGGAAGTACGACGGCTGGGATACTGCCAGGTTGCCCAAGCCTAGACAGGGGAAGTCGAGTGGCGGAGGTCGGATTCGAACCGCGGACCTTCAGGTTAGTAATCCGCGCTCTAACCACTTCGGCCATCTCGCCATCTGGGTAATGAAGCAAACTCTATGGAACTACCGACCTTCGATGTCAACTGGGAACGAAATAGACTTTCTAGGTGATGGTTTGTGACTGCGTCACTCAAGTGAATCAATCAAGTGTTAAACCAACACGATTGGTCTTAAGAACAGTAAACTTTAAGGCTTCCAGTGTTTAAGTGATTTGTTCTAGCCCTGACGCTAATGGGACCACAGAGTCCAATGGTTGTCACACGATCCCACTACTGTATGCCAGTTTTCCAAGAAGCCCACTTTTAACCATTTGATCATCGATTTCAAATTCCGCTAAAATGCCCAGAAAATTGGATGTTCGAGTCTATAAACTATTGAAAAGTTTATTCTCATCCAATTTGGTTCATTTTTGAAGAATCGTTACCAACAACGTGTCATGGATAAAATGTTGGTGTTTGCAGAGCCTCAGCATGTCCGAAAGTTTGAAATGATTGCGCATCGGTGTATCCTGACCGTCAGTGAAACTTACTAGCGTAGCTCAATCACGTTGTTTGTCAGTTATCCGTGTGGATGCAAGTCAGTATATACTAATGCGGCCCTACTAATGGCGCTGGAGACCCTTTCATAAATCAGGTGAAGGAACAAAGAATCTATCTTCAGTGGTCTTATAGGATTGACCTAGGCACCTGGAAGTCTCTAACTATTTAAGTGTCGTTCTATTCCCCCCAAGGAAATTCTCCAAAGGAGCCTATTAAAACTTGGCCTGCCCTGAGGAGTCCTATATACGTGTGACGATGTGTTTCACTAAAGTGAATTGATGAAAGCAGGCGTCTGGTGCGTCACCCGAAATAGACAATGACTTGTTAGTCTAGACGAGCTGGCTACACCATGGGACGCATTGAGGGCGGCTTTGGCAGTCGGTTGTTGCTGAGTGCCTAGACCATTCCGACCCCGGCCAGAATAAATGCTGATCGCCTGACATCTGAAGAGCTCCACTGGACCTCAGAAGTGCTACCATCAAATAGTGCGCTAGCCGAATTCATGGTCCCCGGCCACCAGAAGATTAAGAATACCTGTCATTCCGCCGCTTTGTTGGTGAGATTAGTCTCCAGGCGATGGCTGAAATGTCAGCCTCTTCCCTTAAATTGTGTAGACACAGTATTCTATTCAGACAACCAATCAAAGATCACGATCGACTAAACGATTCAGGTTTTTTTGTGCCCACAGACTAAGCTGACCGAGATATATTTTGCCGGCCTGCTAACGGAAAAAAACGCATTTCCTCATAATCTTCCAAACAATACTGTTCTGGACCTTATTCTCCAACGATATTTTCGTTAACAAACAATATTACTAGTCGGTCATGCACAACGAAACTCTTAACAAAATGAAAACAATTTAACATCATCGCAACACCATCTCAGTCAAGCTACAGCCTCATACCCGGTCTATAAGGTCCGACTACAAAGATAACGTGTTCAACAACCTGCACTGGCTCAAATGCTTAATACCGATCTGTGTTAAGAGTTTATGACCGCATACTAGGATTCCACTACAACAGTCTGGGTCGACACACCAGCTGGAGCTCACAACCACGACTAGCAATTACGCCTTCCCTGATATGACGAATGCAAAGTGGAGTGGAACACGAACATTATGGCAAATGACTTCGTGTTAGTTTCGAGTAATAAATAACAATAAGTAGAGTAAATAAATAATAACATTCGTTTAGTTGTAACAACACGTCAGTGCTGAGTTGCCACGCCACCCGAAGGAAGCAGGAGGGCGGTGATACTTCAGGGCTGCCCGAACCCGGCAGTAGAAGTCGAAATGCCACGGTTTGGTTCCAACCACGAACCTTCTCGTCAGTGAATTTGTACATTATCCACTGGGTTACCACGAGATTTATTTTTCCATGGACGTGTGAGCATGCCTTGGAGTTGAGTCCGTCATCAGAGGTGAATTTGTCCGATAAGGGACAGTAAATCGCTTATGTCGTACGAAGACCGTTAGTGACAATCACATGCATCATTCGGACCAACCCTGCTAGCGAGACGTTTGAGTAAACACTTAATACTAAGATACCATGGGCCATCAGAGTTAACCATGTTCATCGAGTGAAGGTGACGATGAGGGTAATCATGATACATTTAACCACCACGAACTGGAAACCAGCACAAAGGTTAATCAAGATATGACGTCCAGCGAAACTGTACCGACAATAGGATAGATCAGCAGCAATCTGTAAGCGCGATTCGCGCCAGGTTATCACTTGGTCCACATTTTTTAAACATCGTAGTACGATTTGCAATCTGATTGTGAGGTTTGCAACGACTCGATGCGCCGTTTAGGGGAACGACCGAGAGAACTGACCTGCGGTGAAGATAGCCAACCATATCGTTCTTCAAGATGTTGAATCGCGCGATCCCAGTTGTTCAGGAATTTGTATTTCAGCAGAGGGTCATCCACAAGGTTCCACTGACGACGCGCATAGTGATATGAGCTGTTATTACCGGCACGTGGGAAGTCAAGCCATTCGGGGTGGCCAAATTCATTACCTGAAAAGAAATAAAATGTGTACACAGCTTACAGTACAGGTTGCAAAACATCAAGTTCAGAATGTAAAGTGGTACGGAGGCTTGGGATCATACAATGGTAATGAAAGATATATATATGAAAACTGTTTAAAAGTCAAGGCAGGTGACAGATACTTTTCAGAGAGGCGATCCATGGATCTCAAAAAAGTCAACAGCAGGTGTACAGAATTTATGAAGTAAATGACGTGCTTGAGGTAAACTGTTCCATATAACATTTGCCAGCGCAAAAACAATTGGTGACACAATTTCCAGACGTACCCATGAAATTCAAGTAGCCTTCACCACCCAATGTGTGGGTGAGAAATCGGATCATCTTGTGCAGTGCAATGCCACGGTCAATGACAAGATTCGGGGGACTTGTTGTGCTCATATTCCAGTACATTTCTTTATCCATCAACCAGAAAGAAATGGTTTTATCACCAACAAGCGCTTGATCATGGCATTCAGCGTAAGCAATATTGGCCTCACCATGCCGGCGATTGGTCAATGCGTGAACGATACTTCCCATACTCCAGTCTTCATCACGAACCTTTTTCAAAAGCTACCGGTGAAAATAAGAGACCATTGGAAAATGTTTCATCCTCAACAAACTGTGATGACCGGCTACTGAGTAGACGTACTTCACAATAAATTAAGACAAAAGATAAACCACCACTGAATCCAAAAGTGAGAATGAAAACCGGACTGAGTTTTATTCAGTGACACTGGCTAGGATAGGTGGGATGTTCTGTACAGTTGAAAGCGTGTTCAGCCGCCCGTTACCGTTCAACCATAACACCCTTCCGGTGCCTAGCTGCCATGCCACCCGGAGGAAGCACGAGGGCTGGGACACTGCTAGATTGCCCAAGCCTAGACAGGGGAAGTCGAGTGGCAGAGGTCGGGTTCGGGACTTTCCGGTCAGTAAATTCGTGCTCTAACCACTTGGGCCATCTCGCCGCCCACACATCAGTACTCCAGCGCTTGGAGTAAAATGCACAGAAAAACGGCTTTCCATTATCAACAGGATAAGAAAACAAATTTCGACCGTCGTTGGGCACCTTTGGTCATATGATCCGAATTTCTCGCATAATGTGACAATCTTCTGCAGACCCTACCTTGAAAGCTGTGTTGAAGCACACAGGACTGCTGACGGAAGACCTGTTGTTCGGGTGGTCCTGCAGGTCATAGCATTTATTGTCTTGACTGGCGTACCTGCGAGAACGTCGTCAAAGAGAATGTGCCAATCCTTTAGATATAATGTGCTGATGCTGACTACCCTCAGGCGGGTTAGCGTACAGCGCTGTGAACCAGATAGAGTGCATGTTATTCCATATCAATTTTGATGGAGAACTGCGCTGAATAACTAACCTTTTGTGCATCAACTGGCCTCAGCTACCATTCTTAGACCAGGCGAAGGCATTAGGAGTACCGTTCAGGTTATGATTTTCGCCTAGTTAGGGATTTGAAGCCCGAAACTTGTCGGATTCCCCCATCGCTTCCGTTGAGCGAATGGTTTGGTGCGCTCGGGGTCTGCTAAGAGGGTGGACCTTGTCTTTTGAAGGTCATAACGTGTTCTGGTGGTCGAGCTTCAGTGATTATACGACCCACCTAGCTGAAACTCAGTTCCGTATTGCTTTATATATATATATGGCATTGGACATGATTCGAGTGAATTCATCAGGCCATCATACAGCTAACAGCATTCGGCTAAACCCGCATCGCGGTGAAAGCATGAAAAAATTCTATTTCTACGCGCAGTTCCAGACATCATCACCCTCTCTCGATCAGTCTCGAGAAGTTGTTGAGGGCAGAACTGAGAAGGAATTGTATCACCTAACAGCAGTTACCAATGGCAGATCCGGAATATTCCAGGAAACTGGAATTAATGCCACCCTTATGGTCATTAGCGTGTAGGTTGCTTCAAAAAAGCCCCCGGTGGCCTTGCCTATTGTCGTGTATCCTGAAGGACTGTCAGGCACGTTACAGTGTATAAAACACCTAAGCGGTTATTAACGTGCTGGTTAACTGCTAGTTTGTGAGCCCATCCGGAGATTGGATACGCGGACTGATCCTCCTGCTCTGTCGTCTTGTTTCCAGGGGTAACACAAAGAAAGAAATCATTCCTTAGTGGAAATATATTAACACGATGGGGCTACAGAAAGCACTACTTGTTCCGATCTGAGGTTGCCTCCAAAATTAAGGAGAGCTTCGATAACAAGCTCATGTGAGATAGCTGGATTGATTTAATGAATAGATACCCAATACAAAAGCGCCATCCTACAAAACTGACGTTATTATAATAGCCGCTCGTTCTAATATTGTATCGAGATAGGCAATATCTTAATGTAGGGTGCTGGCTGTAAACCGTGTCTAGGCATCCCACCTGTCTAACATTTACTGCCTGCACCTTTGGAAAGCTTGTGGCGTAAGGAACTGAGTTTCGGAAGTCTTAATGAATGCTAGTCACCTATTTGTCGCACTATTCTTTACATCATTTAGTTTGATGGATACAGAATACAGCTGACAGGAGGAAGAGGATATGAAAAAGACCCACCTCAATCCACTTATCCGGAATAGCCATTGCTAAACGGTAGTCAAAGCCACCGCCACCCTCGGAGACTGGACGGCATAAGGTAGGCATGCCGCTGACTTCCTGCAAAGATAAGAAGAAACCGATGGGAATGAATGTTCACAAATCACGTAAGTAACATCGAAAATGCACAAGAACCTTACGAGGGACCATAACGTGCATAGAGAACACCAAAACAGTGACATGCAAGTTGTAAAACAACCCGCAACCAGTCGCGGTCAGATTGCTTTTTATGAGGATAAAGATTATTTGGGCTTGGCAGATTGGCTGATTGTTAACAATAAGAAATCTACATTCCTACTTCCATCTGAGTAACAAACAAAACCTTGACAATCGATATCACCCTCGGTACGTGGTATGCCAGCTTGAATTGTAGACAAACCGTTAATACTGGCACCAATTTCAGTGTGTATCGAGGGGGTAGCACTTGTACCTTCTATCTCAGCACTGACCCATATCTTCCCCCAGTAGCGGACTGCATACACTTTGACAGGTTTCTAAACTAAGTGAATTAAATGGAGAGCAACGCACAACCAGGCGAAATGTGGCAGATAAGCTACCCAACGGAGCACAGAGTAGGCTATACCTCTGACCGGTAACCTTTAGCTCCGAGCGGCGCTACACGCTTTCCTTATTTGTAGAATAGTTAATGCTGGGAAAGCGGACAAAAAGTCGAGAGTTCACGCCAAACTCTTAAAAGCTTTACGAAGTATGCAGCAATACCCTTAAAGTCCGCTTATCCTCTCGCGGGAAACAAAGTAACGGAAAACAATCAATCTTCACATCTACTTCCAATTGATTTAGGATTAAATGAAACGGTATCGGGTTTATCAGCATAGACAATTTTCCGAAAAGGACACGCTGTGTTGTGTAACCCGACTAACACAGCTGACGAGCAGTCATCAACAGATAACAAAGTGCTGTATCTGAGCCACCCTCTAGTAAACATCTGGGACGGCTTACGTCAACAATCGGTAGTATTTTTTGTCACCAACAACCGCAGAGCAGGCAATAGCTAAGCAGGATTCGGTAAATATAGGTGGATGGATACATCGCACCGTATATCATGAACACATACCTCCGCTATCGTTATAATGAACGGATACTGTTTGTGCAGAAAGTAGTTGGCAATCATCAGGTACGTCAACGACTCCGTGTCGACCGACAGACCGAAATATTCACCGTAGTGGCCAGAGAACGAGGTCATCAATCCGTGATGATGGTATAGCATGGACATTACCCCGTCAAAACGGAAACCATCGAACCCATATTCGTCGATCCACCAGCGTAAATTGGACAGCAAAAATCGCAGAACCTCCAGTCTGTAAAACAACAGGTAGATACATTGGATGTGTAACAGAAACCCTTCGAAACTGAAATAGCGAGTGAAAGCAAACCAAACTGGATTGCTGAACTAAATCACGGAAGCCCTATTCACAGTTTGTTACGCAGAAGTCCAAGCTTGCCTCAATACCAAAGATTGTGATCCTCAGGCACGACCAACGACACAAAAATAAGCGGATACTAGACTCCACAAAACCTCAAGAGTCCGTAGTTGCAAAAACGCTCCAGAGCGTCCGAACCTAATGGGTAGCTGACCAAATTAACAACCCAAGAGAATGCTCCAGGATCAAACCCGGTTAAGGCGTTAATAGCGATTTATCAGAGAACACATCCAAGATGACGAAAGGATGGCGAGTATGCATCTAGTTCTGAACGTCACGCACGCAGAGGTAGAAACGCATGGGTGAGCTAGCAAACGTAGGTTGGTGGTAAGGAGGACAAACAAACTTGATGAAAACTGTGGGCTGACTGACAAATATGTACGGTCTTTCCAAACGTTATGTCCTATATCAGGTCAAAAGAACTACACTAATCTCCGGACATACCTGTGAAAGCGACGCGTTAGTAACAAATTAGCAAAGAAATTAGTGGACAACCAGGAAGGGAGCGAACGAGGGCAAACCTGAAGAGCGCCAACAAACACCGTACCAAATAAACAAGTGAACACATTAGGGGCGAGAAATATTAGGAGACATGATTAGGAGAGAAAACTTCATCCGTTCCGACACAAAAAAGATCACCAAAAGACTAAGGATAGAACAGAGATCGATAGTTCTGTAGCCTCATATTAAAAAAGGCGTTCAGCCATAGCACCCTTCCGGTGCCTAGCTGCCATGCCACCCGAAGGAAGCATGAGGGCTGGGATACTGCCAGGTTGCCCAAGTCTAGACAGGGGAAGTCGAGTGGCGGAGGTCGGATTCGAACCGCGGGCCTTCCGGTCAGTAAATTCGCGCTCTAACCACTTGGGCCATCTCGCCCCCTATCCTCATATTACGGGTGGGAGAAACATTTAGTATACATCCAACTGGCAAATTGAAATGAAAACCGAAAAACCCAAACGACGGTCACTCACTCAGTGTAATTGAACAGCCTGGAATCCCACAACTCGTGTACACCCCGTCCGCGGTCATGGAAGTAACAGGCATCCGTGCCATCGAATTGGTTCAGTCCATCAACCGTGTTCTTTGACGCATGACTATGCACAACGTCCAGCAGAACTACCAAACCCAGACGATGTGCCTCATCGACCATAGCGCGAAGTTCATCTGGCGTGCCGTAGCGGCTGTAAAAGAATAGATTGAAGATGGGTAACAGAGAGAGAGAGAGAAGCCGCACACCCAGCATCAGAAGAGAAGGCGGGTATGAAGGCTGAGAACAAGGCTGGCTAGCGTTGGTGAATAAATTGTTGGAGCTTGAATACCCACACTCCGCGGAATTTCAGCATCCTGCTTACCCGAAGAAGCAAGTATCCTAAAAGAGCCAGAGAATTACTTCGTAAACCGACGAGATTTCCAAAAAAAAGGCGGGAATAGTGAACATAAATCGCAAGAGCTCTTATCATACGATGTCAGCAGAACCAAGCCATACAGAACAGAGTACTGTTAAACGTCTTGCTGGTGAACGACAGTAGCACCATGAACTGATGCTCTACTCTCGTAAATACTGTGAAAAACAGATCTGAAAAAGAATCGAGTTTCAAATAAGGAAAAGCGGACAGGGGACGGGTCTGGTATCATTTCGATCGAAGTGACAAAATCTTGCGTCTCCGACCAAGCGCGAGGATCCTACTGTGGAAGGCTAACTGCACCCATAACAACGCAGAAAAAAGGACTGTAATCCCCTGAAACTAGTGTTTCAGGCAGCAACGAAAAGTGAAACTTTGGATAGTAGTGGGGGAAAACAGTAAACGTTAGATATGATAGGATCTAAACAGCACTAACCTGGATGCAGCGAAAAAGCTGGTCACTTGATAACCAAACGAGGCGTAGTAAGCATGCTCCATTATAGCCATCAGTTGTAGAGCGTTGTAGCCTGTTGACGCAAATGACATACGATGGTAGTGAATGACATAAAATTGCACACCGTACGCACTTTAAAACCAGGCTCAGAAAAGTGAAGCACCGACTGTCCGCAGGTTCCTTACGCCTGTATTGTACGTTACGAAGTGCTTGAAAGGTATACTATCCAATACTTGACTCTCTCGGGAGCATAACGCATGGACGAAACCAAATATCATCGGCAAAAAATGACACTATCCGTTCTATAATGCGACAAGTATTTTGCCTCCACCTGTATGCAATGCGTTTTCGTGTGCCAAATATCAATCCCGATCAGGATAGCATAGGTTTATCACCAAGTCGGACTTCACATTGCCTGATCAAATACGACAAGCATTTGCATTCAGGTCCTTCTGCCGGGCTGATGGTGAGCATCCCGGCTGATAACAGACTGCACAAGAACCTGGAAACGATGCTATTATTGAAATCCCTAATGTTATCATTCGTAACCAAAAACAGCTTCTGCTTGAATGCCTAATCTCACCACGTGGCTATCTAGTGAACATCATACACGTTTTAGCCGCCAGAGAGACTGGACCTCACCGCGGTATGACGTTTTGTGTGCCTCTGCGACCCAGTGAGTTATACTTGGGGTGTTTGTGCGACACTCACAGTCACTCGTACTAGGTTATGCTTAGAGGTTTGGCCAACACAGTCTCCCAACCCTCCAGGCTGTGGGTCGGAACATGTGTGGCGACTTGTTCCGTAAAAAATGGTAATGCACCTGCATATACCGCCAAACACCGCCGCCTTGCGGTCAGGCTTTTGGGCTCCGAATCAGACGTGATCCATACGAAGTACTGATTGTCTCACAAAGAAAGCAATGCATATTGCCATGAGAAGAAGAAATAAGGATAATCACACACAAATAGCTGTGAAATAAGTATTTAGCAACCAAACATCCGAAACAAATAAACTCTGAAATTATTGTGTAACTAACGTGCTTTATATAGTCGTATAACCACACCCGTTCGCCTATTGGCATGCGATTTTTCTAAATGAAAAGGATGTAGGTGTAGGCACATTATCCTTGATCATTTCCACATAAAACATCTTCACAATAACTCCCTGCTCTCTCTCTCTCCTCTTCAACATCGTTTTTTTCATGGTTGCATGGCAGTTAAGGACCTTCATTCTAAATCACTTCGTTGAAGCACAAGTTGTGGCCATCACCACGCGTGTTCCTCAGCTGTCTGGACCCGGCTGTTTCTTTGCATAGTCAAACTCATGTTGACCTGTCCATTCGGATGTCTCCAGACAGCGAGCAATTCGAACGCTGGCAACTGAACTGTGGAGATGAGGCCGGATAGACGGCGAAGAGACTGTCTGTCAACAGTACTGGATGCGAAACCACATCAAGGTAGTTTGCATTCAGTGTTTTGTTCTGAAGTGAATGCACGTACACATACAAGATGAAAATAGTAAAAAGCAAAGCGGGCATTTTCGGTAGAGAAACTTACCTAGATTCTTTATCCGGGGAAGTATGTTGTCTTTGAAGTGCGTGTACGAGGCAACCTTAGGCTCCTGTGAAGAAATTCCCACATGGCACTCATAGATTCGTAGACTTTTCGGGCGGGGTGGATGTGGATGTTTCAGTTCGTACCTCTAGAGACAACGATCAAATAAGGGGTCAAAATACCTCTTTTGGGTTGTACATAACCTGATCGTAGATCTTATTCTCGTTCAGACAAACTACGTACGGTGCCCAAGGACTGAGACGATCAAGGCGCCGACCATCTTGGGCTACAACCAAAAGCTTCAAGCATTGGATTTTACTGAGGTAGCATACCTTCACTATTGAGAGGTGTGGAATAGCGGGCGCTCCGAACGTGGGCGGTATGGTTAATTCCCACTTACCAAAACCAATGTTTTTGAATGGATGCGTGAATTCCTTCCAGTCATCTGTGATCCGGTTACAAAAATCATAAACATCGCTTACTGAAATCTCCACGGAGGTACAACTCTTTTGCACCTGGAGCCCATTCCTTGCAATAAATGGTGCCGTCGGGGTGAACATGTATGCCGAATTCCTTGTATCCTTGGGTAAAGTTATCCAGGCCGCCTACATGTTCGATCCAGTTCAGATAGTCCTGAAAGCATTTGTACCTGAAGAATAAATAATGCGAAATCGACAACCTACACTTTAGACCACAAAATGGCACAACACAGAAAGGAAATTAAAAACGGACAGACATTCGAATGGAGATCGCAACAATAGAGGAAAACAGTAAAATGATGGAAGTACGTTTCCACAGTTGCGTAAGTGTTGCTGCTGATACTAAGGCTGACTAAGGGAGACTAAGGCTGGTTACGCCATGGTTAATTGCTTCGTGGGTAGGCTGATCTTTGCTGAGATCGCTTCTCATCAACCTTGCGTTTTTGGTTGTTATAGTTTCCCCCGAGTCACACAACTACTATTGTTCACGACTACCAATGAAGTGTGAGCGCGTGTGTTTTACTCCACTACTTGTCCTGATGTATCATACGGAAATCCACAGTGCACCTGAGCGGTCATGGTTATGACAACTTTGGACAGTTCTGTTCAATATCGCAGCCAACAGGCTTGGCATGCAACCACTGTGCTGTTGGCCTGAAGACGGATTTAGGATAAAAAACAAGTTCATAGGATCTCTACCAATAGTGTGTACACTGATGGCGTCTCCACGTATAGCTAAGAAACGTCATCAAGCCAATCGCCACGGTTGGCGAATAGATCAACAGCCTGTTGATCAGCTAACATATCTGAGCTGCTTACGTTTCGACACTGATCGCTGCCTCATCCCGGATAATCAACATATGAAAGGCGCCCCAAGGAACCGATCCAAAGTGGGTATCGGAAATCTTTGACTGTTTCAGAGGTGTTCGCTAAAACGTGGATGAGAAAGTTCTGCAGCATTCATTCACTCATTTTAATTCAACCTTCGGATAGCTTCCATGGAGTAGGGGAAGCAATTTTCTACCCAGAGTACTGAGATCCGGAGGTTACAAAGATTCAAGCTGCTGCAAAGGACAAAAAGCTAAAAAACCTTTTGTGTATATGCATTACGCGTCCAGAATAACAGAATGGCTGATAAACAGGCTTAACAGGTGGTCAATGTTCCTAATATCCTTTCACGATTAGTTTCGTTCAACAAAAATGCAGGCTAGTATTTTCATACTACAATGGTGCGATTGTTGACATCATAAGCTCCATTTGGCAATTGCCTTTTTATTCATGCTGATGCGGCATTCACCACTTGCATTTATTTTTACAGATGACTTACACGTAAAAAATGGACAAACACAAGGTTACAAATTCATCTTCTGAGCCAGGTAGTTGAACAAATGACTTTGTAAACGATATCTAACGCCACAAATTGCTAGTGCCAAGCTCCAGTGGGACGATTAAAACGGACCTACATCGGACGAGCGATGTTCTCACCCCTTTTCTGTATAGGTTTAAGTTAAGACAAAACTCTAAATGAGGGATGGACGTCCTGCAACATGTACAATTCATACACCAGTGTACGGCCGATATACCCTGACTTTTTGAGCGGCAGATGCAAAGAAAACATTCATCACTAACAATCTATCGTAGCAGCAATCTGTTTCCAGTGGTGTCAACTGGCACCTTTCGAATGCAATAACCAACCGTCGGTCCGATATCCATCGGAACCAAACTTGTGACAAGCAAAATTCTCCTCTAGTTGTCTCAAAGTTGCGAGTTGGGTTCCACCATAGAAACTGGTGCAGTGACCATGTATTCCGACTACACGAACTAGTGCATCATCATCTTTATCATCAATTATCCTCCTTAACGGTGAACCGCGAGCAAGTACAGTAGTTATGGCTACCAGTTTCATTCGCTGATGAACTAAGGAGATAAAATTGGACGGCCACGCATTAAGGTCAGTAGCTGGTAAGTGACGCGTGAGCTCAGGAGTGACACAGAACTTTTCAGTGGGGAAGTCAGGAGACGAAGCTATGCGTTGAAGGATACAGCTTGGATGCATGCAAGATCCTGAGTTCGCGGCTGGATCACATCTGACAATATCTCATCTCGGGCTCTTCATATAGCTACGCAGCAGTGCTGCCAGTTTCCTTCCAGTGTCTTATTGGACGCCTGCAGGCATCTTAGAATGATTGTGGCAAGCTAGCAAGAGGTCCTTCATCTACTCTTCTCTTTTTCAACTTTTAACGCTTTAAGTATGATTGAATAAGATTTGTGGTTGTACGACAGTGAAGCACCAGTGTTAAGAGCGACGAAATCCACCAATGTTTTCTGTCATTCTTCAAGCTCCTGATTATCCTATGTTTGAGGGATTTGCGTGAGCCATCACAGTCGCTAGTTGCTGGCATAGCCTTTCTGGCAGCAGTACGATCTGCTGATCTCGAAGATATCCAGTGTTCATTGATTCGAGTCGGATGGGTTGGACAAAAAGTGTTGAAAGCTGACAGCATTGCTTCTTTGACTCGCCTCCATCTATCCTCCAAGCACTCTTCGCCATCTACATGACTGTAGCTCTCTAACCAGATCAGCTCGATATTCTTCAACTACTGAAACTTGTCGAAGTTGATGAACGGAGCTGGTCTCTTTCGGCACGCGAAAGGATAAGCGGGCCAGCACGATGGCGTGATCAGAGTCAAGTTGTGTACCCCGAGAAGGAACGGCAATCCTTAACTGAGGCTCTCCAACGGTAACTTATGGCCATATGGTCCAAGTGAGTCAACGACTGTCTTGTGGTAGGCGGCTTCGAAGTAACCCGGTGTGTGCGTTCGTGTTGGAAGTTTGTACTGGCCAGGAAAAGACGATGATCTGCACACAAATGAAGAAACTGCCCTCCAATGTCCACCTAACCACCACCTAACTGTGCTTCTTCCATATTTAGTCATCCAACGTGGACATTTATATCACCGGTCAGGATTACTATATCCGTCCTTCTTGCCGACCGAAGCAGTCGTGACAGATCTTGATAAAACTCGTCGTTCTGTCTCAGAACTGCTGTTGGGGCGTATGCTGATACACCAAACTCACACCATTTACCGCATCAACCTGCGTTAATCTTAATTGAGCCAGACAACCGCACAGCGCAAAGGCGACTGTTTACTCAGATTCAGTCCAGTAACGCGCATTCAGCCTTGGGGCTGAGTGCAACTCCCACACCGTAGATACCACGGGCCATTGCGTTAGGATCACCGGATGTCCGAATAGTGAAATGTGGAACATATGGGCTCGTCCTAAGCGGCTTGAGGAGCACGACCGAAGTGGGATCTTGAATGCGTGTTTCGGAGACACAACATACATCGATAGAGAGAAAGTAAGGTTTCAGCAAGGGATATTTGTTGACCTATTGGACATAGAGTACGGACACTGAAGGCTACAACTTGGATCAGATTTTTGAGGTTAGTAGATGATTATTTTGGTTAATTTGTCTGGGAGATGGTTGAGATACGGAACAGTGGCTAGGGGGTTGGCAGATGGGTTGGTGGCACTGCACTGTACGATGGGTTGGTAGGGAATGAGGGGGAAGTCCGGTGAGCGAAGAGCTGCAAGGGCAAATGGTGCTTCCCGATTGCCCAGGCCGAAGAACGGGGTTTAGCTGAGACTTTCACTCAAGTCTCATACACAAGGCAGTGGGGGGTTTTGTTCGGGGGCCCTACCCTCAGCGCATGTCTCAAAAGGCTGGACCGCAAGACAGCGGTTGTTAGGGTTTTCTTGGGGGACCGTCCCTGGAGCCAATGATTCAATAGTCTGACCCACTTGGCTGTAAGGGGCCGGCCTTGTACGAGGGCGCAGGGAGTAGGGCAATACTGTCGTGACGTGGCTGCGCACAGTCACAAAGAGACTGGACCTTACCGTGGCTGACCCACTTGTAAGGGGCCGGCCTTGTACGAGGGCGCAGGGAGTAGGGCAATACTGTCGTGACGTGGCTGCGCACAGTCACAAAGAGAGAGACCCTTACCGTGGTGTGACGGTTTGCGCACCTCAGCGACCCATTGAGCTATACTGGAGTGTCCCGGGACACTCACAGAGTCTCTCATACCAGGTTGGTCAATGGTTAGAGGTCTGACGAACACAGTCTCCTGGCCCTCCAGGTTAGGGGTTGGAACATGTGGCGACTTGTTCCGTAGAAATGGTAATCCATTTGCATTTCCCGCCAAACACCGCTGC